ATACCATGACCAAGTCACATTTATCCTAGGAATACGAGGATGAGTAACACACAAACTATTCAATGAGACACACATTATTAACAGGAAAAAAGAATAAAAATCAGATGATCCTCTCAATAAATGTTGAAAGATATTTGACCAAACAACAGTAAATAAGGCATACTAGGAAATTACTACAACATAACAAAAGCTATACATTAAAAACCAATTGCAGATATCATACTCAATGGTGAAAATCTAAACTATTTTAAGATCAAAAACAAGGCAAGGATGCTGCTCTTGCCATTTCCAGTCAACACAGTACTAGTCAGAACAATCTGCAGCAAAATATCAAAATCAGAAAGGGAGAAGTAAGATTATCTCTGTTTGCTAATGGTATTACCTCATATGCTGTGAACTCTAAAGGTTACTTATACTAATAATAACTGTTAGAACTAACAAACTCAGAAAGATTGCAGGATAGAAGATCAACACAAAAATACTTATATCTCTGTATAGTAAAAATGTACCATCCAAAAAGGAAATTAATAAAACAATCCTATTTACCATAGCATAAAAAGTAAGACAAAATAGAAATAAATTTAATTTAAAAAGCAAAATACATGTACATTGAAAACCACAAATCAGTGCAGAAAATAAATAAAGAAGATGCAAATCAATGGAATGCTATCTTATGGTTATAGATTCCAAGAATTATTACTGTAAAAAAATATCCACACTAACCAAAGAGATCGCAGAATCAATGCAATTTTATATGAGAAACCCAAAGTATAAATAATTTTTAAAAACAAAATAAAAAATAACAAGAAATAAGGAGAGAGAACTTTTTCAAATGGGAAGGGGATCCAGAGGTAGGGGCAGAGAAGAGGGAGGGAAAGGGGAATAAAAAAGAGTTAAAATAGCCGGGTGTGGTGGTGCATGCCTGTAATCCCAGCACTCAGGAGGCTGAGGCAGGAGGATCGCTGTGAGTTCAAGACCAGCCTGGTTTACACAGTGAGCTCCAGAGCAATCTGAACTACATAGTGAGACCCTGTCTCAAAAAACAAAAACAACAACAATAACAAAAAAGAATTAAGATATGTTAAATACATGTATCTAGTCCCTATGATGAATGTAAATATTATGTTCTACAAACACATAATAAAAAAATGGAAAAATACATTAAAAATCCAGTTTCTTACTCCTACTATCACTACATTTCAAATATTCAAAATATGCACATGGCTAATGGTTTCCATTTGGGGGAAAAAACGCATGGCATTTTTTCTACAGAAATAAAAACCATCCTAAAATTAATACTGAACTACAAAGAAACTTAGATAAACAGAACATTCTGAGAAACAAGAACTTCACTGGAGGCCTTATATTTCTTGATGTCAAATCAGAATGGTAATTACCATCACAATGGTAATTTTATATGCAAAACATGAAGTATGAATAATTTTTAAAAATAAAAGATAGACAATAGGAATTATAGAAAGAGATGTTTGGCAAATGGGGATAGGATCCAGAGATTGGGACAAGATAGACAATAGGAATTATAGAAAGAGATCTTTGGCAAATGGGGATAGGATCCAGAGGTTGGGACAGGGAGGAGAAATAGAAGGGGAATAAAAAGAATTAAATATGTTAAATACATGTATCTCCTGCAATAACGAATAGGAACATTCAACATGTTACTAACATAGAGGCAGACTTATAAATCAAAGGAAGAAAACAGAGGGTCCAAAAATAAACTCATGTGTATTTAATGGAATAATCTTCGACAATGATATCAAGACTGCAAAATAAGTTAAGCATAGTCTCTTCAACACAATGTTTTGGAAAAATTTGATATTCACATGCAAAGGAATAAATGGACATACCTAAAACCAGCTTCAAATTGATTAATGACTTAAAAAAAAGACCCAAAACAACACAATTATTTGGAAACGCATCCATAAGCCTCACATCTCTGACTCTGGATATGATTTCTTTCATATGACACAGGTAATAAAACCAGAGTAGGCAAGTGGGATTATATCAAACTTAAAAGCTTCTGTAACCAAACAAAGCAATCAATGGCACATAAAGGCAACTTACAGCATGGGAGAAAATATTTGTTCAGAATATGTCTGATCAGGCTATGATGTAAATATTAAAAACTCTTAAACGTCAGTCATAAAAGACATGTAATATAATTCAGAAGTGGAGTGATTTCATCCAATAGAGATGTGATTGAAGAGAGCAAGGAGAGGAGTGAGGAGGAAGAAGAGAAGGGGAAATGAGAGCAGTAAAGATGTGCCACGCACAGTGTCCCAGTAACTCCAACCGGTGGGAACACGGGAGGCCACAACAGAAGCTAAGACAAATGACGTCAGTAAGCACAGACATGGTGGTAGGGGAACCGGAGGAGGGTGCAGAGGGAAGAGGGTTAGGTAAAAAAAAGCTGTAACATCCACATGTAACCACTCCCCAAGATTACTATAAACTTCACGAACTGCAGATCTGTACTAATAAAATAAAATTTTTAAAAATTCAAAAATCAACAAGGACACTGTACTGTATTAGTCAGGTTTCCCACTGCTGGACAAAATATCTGTCACACCTTAACAGAGGAAAGGTTTCATTTAACGCATACATTTAGGAGATTCCAGTAAAGGGTTAGCAGGCTCCAAGGCAAAACCATGGCGAAAGGGCATAGTGGAACTAAACTAATAGTTCATGGCAACCAGAAAACAGACCAGAATGGTGCCAGAGAGGAATGGGCAAGGACAGTACCCAAGCCCATGCCTTCATGACCTAAACAGAATATACTCAGGAGCCTGTTCTATTAATCAGCATTTCTTAATCCAATGAAGTTGATATAACTGGATTAACAGTCACAGACTTGAATAAACATTTTCCTCAAGAAAGCTTACAAATGGGCAACAGATACATAAAATAATGCTCAACATCATTAATCATCAGGGAAATGCAAATGAGCTACCAGTTTATACCTGTCAGGATGGTAATTAGAGAGACGGAAAGGGAAAGGGAGAGGGAGGGAGAGAAAGAAGCTGAGGGAGAGAAACAGAAAAGGAGGGAGGAGAGAGAGGGGAGAGGAAAAGAATGTATTAGTAGGAATGTGGAGTAATTGCAACCTTTGTACCACCACTGGTGAGAATACAAAATTGGACAGCTACTATAGAGAACAGTAAGGAGAGTCTTCTACAACAAAAAACACAATTACCATAAAATCCAGCACTCCTACTTCTGGGTATACATCCAAAAACATAACAAGGATTTTGCAGAGAGATGTGCACACCATGTTCATTACAATATTGCTAACAGAAGTCAAGATCCACATCCATAATCTAAATGTCCATTAGCAGATGAATAAAACAAATGTAAAATATGCCTAGAAAGGAATATTCCTCAGATTTACAGAAGAAGAAAATCTTGCCATATGTGAAAACATGGATGATCTAAGACCATTTTGCTAAGTGAAACAATCTAATCACAGAAGGACAAACACTGAACTGCATGACTACACTCATATGAAATATCTAAAATTGTCAAACTTATAGATGAAGAAAATAGAACAGTAGTTGCATGGAGATGGAAGGGGCAATATGGGTAGTTGCTATTCAACAGGTATAATTTAAGTCGAGCAAGATGAAAAAGTAGTAAGGATTTCCTGTGCTATTGTGTGTATGCGGTTAACTATGCACTTAAAATTTTGATAAAGGATAGATTTTATGTTTTGTGGGGTTTTTTCCACAATGAAAAAGAAAAAAGAACTTTAGATCTCTGGGTAGATAGTTTAAAACAGACTCTTATGGGTTTCAAGTTCAAGTAAAATCTTACTTGTATTCAAGTGAAGAGCATTTAGGTTAACTTCTCAAGTCTTTTCAATGCTTCTGTTTCCATGGTTACAGCTATTAGGATCTAACACACTGTACATCCAACCAAACTGACAGACTAGAGGGTGGAAAATGGAAGCACAACTTTCTGTCTGTCCAGTCCCTCAAGAAATACTGTCTGTCTCATTCTTCAATGTGAGCTAATCATGAGGACCAGTAAGAAAGGATAAAGTGGGAAAACTGGAATTTAGCCCAGTAGTGCGGTAAAATCTCCTTTGATTTCTCAGTAGAAATAAAAGAAACAAAAAAAGTAAAACACAGCAAAGCACTATTAAGGAAGAAAACATCTGTCACCTTGGACAGAATAAAAGTCCCACCAAATGAAATAAATGCCTCTGGGAAAAAAGACATGTCATGCTAGAAAGTACTGTGTTACTTCTTTCTTGCTCTTCATTTTGTTTACATCCACTCAATGTACCAGACCTTAACCTATATCCTGTTTTCTTCCCCAGCAATGATAGATGCATGAACTGAATTTAGCCTTTGGTTAGAACTTTGTAAGGAAATGATTTCAAAATAAAAGTGTTTTACTTGGTACTATCTCAATGGCAAACATGTACTTCCAAATGAAAGGTTTGTTCTATTGGAAGATTTTTGCTTGAGAAGGCAATAATACTTTAGTTTTCAAACTGTTAATTGACAGGTGCATGCACATATACACACCTCTAAACAAGTCCTGTTCTGTCTGTTTTGAAACATAAGGTGAGTACCTCCTAGTAGAACTAAATGAAAACTTTGTTCAAATTTTACAATTTGAAAAGGGTCATAATAATAATGCTAGTTGATATTGAGAAATGCAGTTTTGATTTTCAATGTTTTAAAATATAATTTATTTTCTGAACCTAGAAATAAGATGTGTTTTAAGCATATGAGATGGAGTACAGTTTATTTCTAACACCCTTGTGACATTCCAGAGTACACAATAAGTATGAGAAGTTCATGGCATATTTCTTTTCATTTTTAACTACTTCTCAATGAAATCAAAGGAGTTTAACTTATGCATTTTCTAGCTGCAGAGTTCTTAATGAAATGAAGTATGACTATTATTATGCATTTTAAAGCTTTTTTAAAATTTATAAAACCTTCAGTTAAAAAAATGAAAAAAATAACACAAACCTTGAAACAGTCAGCAGATCAGAAGAAAAATATGTTCTTTGGGAACTTGATTGAAGTGTACTCATAAAAGTTTTTTAAATGAAAGCTGCTCACAAAAGAAGTCCCATGGAAGACAGATGACATGCCAGATGCTTCTAGAAACAAAGAAAAGCACTCCATTAGGGCATGTTCAAAGTACCATTACTGCCAATCCCAGCCCCGAATTGATAGTATGTTGTTAATATCTGTTAAATGTGTGCCCCAAATCTTTTTTTTTCTCACTGAGTTTATTGGTACATTTTAGGTATACAGTACAGTTACATGACAGGTCTTGGTTCTCATTTTTTCCCCTTACCCCTGCCCTGCCTTCATCCTCTCCTCCCTTCCCTATTTACAAATACTTTATTTCCATTTTTTCATTTTCTCATATTTTTTTATTTTCCCTTATTTCCTTTCCCATACCCTTCCCACTTCCCCTACACCTTTAGCCCTTTTCTTCCTATTTCACATTGTCAATTATATCATTAGGATCTTTTGTACAATTATAGTTTTTCACACCAGAGAAACTATTTGGTATTTATACATGTGTGACTTATTTATTTCACTTAAGAGAATATCCTAAATATGTATCCATTTTCCTATGAATGACTCTAATTTCTCATTCTTTATGGCTGAGTAGTATTCCATTTTATAGAAAAACCACATCTTCTTTATCCAAATCTTTGTTTGTAACTTCAAGGCGAAGCATTATCTTTTACCACAGTATTTAGAAATGACTAAAGGCCAGAATCATTTAACAACTAAGCAAATGTCTTCATTTCCCCTCACCTACCCAGGCTGCTAACAGAAGACCTGGGGGCAGCACAGGAGCACAGAGCTGTTTCCTGAGCACGTGCAAGCATGAGGCTTTGTAACAGGGGCTCTAGACAAATGGGTTCTTTGAGCCAAACAACAGCCCTGCAGCCAAACAGTCTTGGCTTCATTTCACAGATAAGAAAAACTTTTCTATGGATTGTTGCCTCAGTCTTAGAAACTGTGTCCTCTAACACTCAAAACCCTTAGGGCTAATTCTGTCACTCATTTCATTCTGTGGCCTATGTGACTTAGAAAAACATTTAACAAATAGGATTAACAAGAGGACAAATAATAGCACCATTTACTAAGTTAATTCATATATTGCCAAATTAATTATGAAATTGTCTTTTCTAATTTACTTTTATACTAAATATTGCCATAACTCTACAGAAAGATGGATACCTAGCTTTAAGCAATGTATTTTTTTCTTCCAAATTTCTTCCTTAGGTAAAGAGAGCAAGTCTCTTGGAAACCAGTGGCTTTCTGGTGTCATGGTGCTGGTTTATGTGCTTGCCTACATCAAAGACAGCAATGCCAATTTCTCATCTTCCTTTGGCCCCTCCACATGACTCAGAACTCTTTCACTGTCCCAGGGAAAGAATATTTGGTTTTTCTGATGCAATCAGGAACAGAACCCACATCCTCTGTGAATATCTCTGAGTAATGTGACTGCAATTCTGTGTGGCTTCATCCATCTCAATGGCTGAAGGCAATTGAAAAAGGGTTGGGCAGGGATCTCTGGATTTCTCTTCTTGTTTTTAGCTGATGATCTACATGTTTTTGATGGTTCTGGCACCAACTCAAAGTCATACAGCTTACCCTCCACCAAGTTTCCTAGAACCTGCTCTTACAGCGTAGTATTTCAGGATCAACACCCACCAACACTGGAAAATATCCCTCCAACTGTCAGACTTTAATGCCATGGATTTTATCTGAGTCTTGGAACTTTTAGCTCATTTCCACACTGCACCTAGAAGTGCCTCAGAAAGGCTAGAAAATAATGGAGCCTGGAAGGTCACACATAATTTTCTAAATTTTGCTTTATTTTATTTTTAGCAATTGAAGCTTAAGTCATAAATAAAGAAGCTGGGTAGGGGTGACTGATAGTATTTTTCAAATTCTGTGGAACTGGAAGCCTGGGATTATGACTTTGTTAAAAAGAAAAAAGACCAGTGATAGAGCTAGTTCATCTTTGCATCAAAGAAGGAAGAAGAGCTTAATAAACATTGTAGGGGAAGCCCTGGAACAGACTCTACCCTAAATAATAGGCATGCAAAACAAATAGAAACCTTTCCTAAAATGTACTAAAGCAGCATTCTTTGTTCTTCATACCACTCACATACAAAGTTTTAGGTTCTACTCCCAAACTAGCATGTTATTTGTCAAAAAACCCTAATGCTAACTTTTAAGTATTTATTCAGCCACTTTTCATTGGATATTTGAGCCAATCAACAATCAGAAAATTTCAGGAATGCTGAAATAATCAAGACAGTCTTTGGTTTCAAGTATTTTACTGCCTCACAGAGAGAAACAGCTAGGATGTCAACTATAAGAAGGTGGCGCTAATGAGACTAAGGACGAGGCAGCATCCTGCTTCTCACATCCTAATTTTTGACCTTGGCCATTGTACTCAAATTCTCTCATCTCTGCTTTCTCATTTGAATATTTCCCTACATGTTGTTTTGAAGATTAAGACAACCTATATAAAGTATTTGGTGCACTTAGAGGCACCTTAACAAGATCTCGTTGGATGTGTGAGTGACATCTGCAAGGAAAAAGTGCTTTGAGGTTCATGAGGAGTTGGAATTCTCTCTGCTGACGAATCAAGAAAGGTTCCATGAAGAAAGTAACATTTAAGAGAAACTATAAGCAAACATGATAATGCTTTTTCGTTGTAGAAACACTCTCATAACTGAAAAGCCAGAAAATTAAGTACTTTATAATAAAAAGTTAATCCATGAAATTACATATTATTTTCCAAACTTGTTATAAAAATAGATAACAGTACAACCTGAGAATGACACAAAGGAGAAAAATCTATGTATTGCTACTAAGAAAGGTACAATATCCCACGGAATCCTGTTCTATTCTATGATAATCCAAAATGACACCATGGCTTTTAATGGAACTTGGCGAGCTTACCATTTTTAAACTTAGCCTCAAATTTAAATCACTGGGTTTGTGACTCAAATCTCCAGTGTGACCTTTACTGGGTATTGTTCAAGAAAACATGTCTGTCTCTGTGTGGAGAGAAGCCATACACCCTTTTACTTTAGAAAATATAATGACAGATGTATTGTTACAAGCATAGAGTGGCAAAAAGATTGTGCCTATGAGTCTTCAGAAGCAATGAAAACAAAGACCTTATTTTATTTTGTATCATTTGTTTAGAAATGTTGACTTATCACATTAATGAACATTTCTATTCTTTCCATATTGTTGATTTTAACTCAAAAGAAGCTTGGCAGGAATCTCATTATTTATAGATTTAAAATATAATTCCTCAGAATATAACTTTCTTCAAAGGCTTTACTGAGCCACACTACTTTGTCCTTGAGAGACTCATACAGTTTTGTACTGAACAGAAAAGCAAAGAGGATGTGGAAGCTTCCATTCTCCACGCCCTCCCTACTTCCTAGCCCTGGGAGTCTGCTGCAGAACAGTCCTATAGTTTGCATGTGTCCCTTGCCAAGGTGATCGTAATAAGAGGTGGGCGTCTGAGAGGTGACTGGGCCATGAGAGCTCCTTCCTTGAGATTGAGGCCCTTATGAAACAGGTTTCTTGTTACCTTTTGGTAGCTGACTTTTCTGCCTACTACCATGGGAGGATACAAGGATCTTGGAACCAAGGAGCTGCCCTCACCAGAAAGCTAAGCCTACTAATACTTTAATTTTTGCCTGTAAGAATTTGAGAAAACAAATTTTTCTTCTTCATAAATCACCTACACAATAGTCTTTTATTACTGCAGCATCAAATAGGCCAAGACAGAAATTGTTACCAGAGGAGTGAGGTGTTATTATATAGCTGGAAATGTATAAGCAGCTTTGGAATTGGTTGAGGGTAGAGGCTAAAAGAATTTTGAAGTGAATACTGTGAAAAGCTGGTACTACTATGAATGGAGCACTCAGAACAATTTCAGTGAGGGCTCAGAAGAAGAGAAAAGCTATAGGAAAAGCCTCAGTCTTCTTTGTGATTATCCAAGTGGTTGTGGCCATAATGCTTCTTCAAATAGGGCAGTAAAGATTGTTCTGATGAGGTCTCAGCTGGGAACAAAAACAAAGTATTAAAAACTGCAGGAAGGGCCATCCTAGGACTTTCTAGATGACAGATCTAAAGAGTAAAGAACTAGGATATTCAGTGGAGGAAATCTCTCAGCAGCAAAGCATTTAGAGTGCTGTTGGGTCTTCTTAAATGTGAGAAGAGACACAATTTAAAGACAAATTTGAGGTTAAAAGGGAAATAAAAACTTAACAATTTAGAAAATTCTCAGCTGGTCATGTAATGAATAAAATAGCTTAATATTTATGAGGAGAAACAAAGGCTGTGGCCATCTGGCCTTTGAACAAGGAGGTGAGGAAGAAGAGCAAGACACCCGGCACCATTCATCAAGACAATGGGAGAGTGACTCAAAAGCATGACGGACATCTTCAGGATGCCATGGGCGTCACTGGCTAAAGTGCCTCAGTTTCAAAGGTGCCCTGAGTTTTATACCATTCCTCACTTCTGTGAGAACTTTCATGGAAGCAGAAAGTTACCCTTACCAAACAACTGAACCCACCAATGACCTGAGATTTCCCAGATGTTAGGAGAAAATAAATCTATATTCTGTAAAAACTACCTAGTCTATGTATTTTGTTACAGCATCATGAAAGTACGAAGACAGCAAATCTGTAAGAGAGATGGTATCATCATTTCCTTCTCACCTTTCTTTATCCTTTTCACTGAATTGTGAAATCCTATCATTTCTTTCCAGTCATGCTAACTCATGGTATCACATTTTATGTACTCTCAGTAACTTCTAGCAGGCTCTACTTGTAGTTTATCCTGAAAAAAAAAGTTAGAAGACTTGTCATCCTATCAGAATTGCCACCCTGTCCTATCTATAATGGTGATAAATACATGAATGGAAAATAAATGGACACACAGGGAATTTTTTAAGTATGATTTTAATTATGTACTTCTATCACTCAAGAACCTACAGGGTCTCCCTCTTTTCTCAAGAATCAGATTTAATTTCATCATCAGGAATATCTGTTCCCACTATCCTCTCTAATACCAAAGTATATCTGACTTAATCTCA